ACAGCACACTTCTTGCAGTGCACCCACCCTCAGGCAGTGCCTGCCTGTACCGGGAAGTTATTCCTGTGGTAGTGAAGCTGTGGCAACGGGAGCAGCCTGCTAACATGGGAGATTAAGTCGTTGTCTGAATGGGAGCCTGTTTTTCCTCATGACTCTGTGTTTCTCCATGCCCTTGCATTCTGTCCCCACATAATTGTGTTTTTAATTGATTTTTCCCCTTACAGGGAAATCAGAAAAGCTGGAAGTAATAGGAGTAGAGCAGAATCATCTCACCCCCTGGTGACATTGCTTTCCCATATTTCCTTCATGGCAAGACCGTCCATTAGAGGGAAGGATTCTACTGGGGTGAAGGACCTGGGAGGATGATGAAGTGAGTTTAGTCCCACCAGGATCATGAGGGGGGCTTTTAGGAAAGCTCATCATGAGATCCTGGTTGGGTCCTGGGGGAAAGCCTAGGAAGATGTCCTTCTGTCTATGACAAGGGGACAGGGACTTCCCCAGTGTTTCATGGTCACAGCAGTCTGCACTTGACCTCTAGCAGTTGGCCAACCATTTCTAGTTGGGTAAATATTTCTGCCGATGCAGAGCCCCAGGGCCTTTTGTTCTAGCTGAGCACATCTCAGGTCCTCAGTGCCAGGGGATTTGCCTGAGCCCTCAGATCTCAGGGATAAGATTAGCCCTGCAACTTTCTATCTCTCAAAGGGCTAAGCAAAGGTGCTGAGCAGTTTCTTCAAATTTTTTCTATTGTAGGGGCTAAAGTAACAACACCCAAGCTGCTTATTTGTTGAAGCTGCAATGAGAAGTCTAGCCACCATCATTTTCTAGAAGAAGATTCATTTATTTGAGAGCAGGATTTCAAAGCAGGATGGAGCAATCAAGGCAAAAAAGGGCTCTGAATCTGGTTCACTCCCCAAGCTGGCCACAACAGCCTGAGCTGAGCCATGCTGAAGCCAGGAGTCTGAAACTGCATCTGGGTCTCCCACCTGGGCGTTTGGTTCATCTTCTGCTATGTTCCCAGGCACAGAAGTAGGGAGCTGGATTGGAAGCAGAGCAATGGAGACTCAACCACTCGTAGGCAATGCCCTAACTCTCTGTGACACAATGCCAGCCTCCAGTCAGCATCATTTTGTAACCACAGGAATCTCATCCTGGTAGGAGAGAAAGACCTTTCCTAGAGGGGTCAGCTGAAATGAGGCTAACCCATTTTTTAAAAATTGGGGAGCATCCTACTGGAGCACTACAGCTGACTTAACAGAAAAAGTATGTGTTTAGTAAAAAAGGACTTCACACCTCAGTTAACTCAACCTTGATTAGGAGAAAAAAAATAGCAGAACAGCTAAGAATTTGCCTTCAGCAACTGACTAATTGTCCTGGGATTTTCAAGGCAGTGATGGAAGCAGGAAGTCTTGGGTTTTAAAATCAGATAGGCTTGGGTTATTTATAATAGGTCTTTCTTTCACTCTCTGGATGCCTTCTGCAAGTCATGTTTCTTTCATTTTTTAAACAGAGCGAAGTAGTCTCTATAGGTTACAGTAAGGTTAAATGGATTGATATATTTCATGCCACAGGTTTATTGGCCTTCAGCCATCAAACTCTGTGCCATTTCTTTGCCCCCGTAGCCTCATGATCCTGGACATCCTGATCATCACTCACCTGTGCCTTCTGCTGCCCCTTTGGTTGACCCAGTGGCCAGCATGCAGTGCCTCAGCTCAGAGTGCAGGCAATGCTTTCCTAGCTGGTTAGCAAAGTCATTGCTCTTACTAAATTACTGGCAGATCGAATGTCTCATTACCTTTTATTCATTACTGGCTTCTAATTATTCTAAATTGCTTTTTAATTAGAGACTGCCCACTGGAAAAAATGGACGTGTACAGCATGGCACACAGGGCAGCACTCCAGGGTGCAGCAGATCTTTGATCTTGGCCACTTCCTCCAAAGGTTCCATCTCCTTGCAGGGTCTGCCTGCACCCACTCTTCACACTCTGAGGGTGATGCGGGGTTCCTGTCTGGCAAGGTTCTGGGCTAACTTGCCGTCTCAACCTGCCCATGTCTTCTTGCCCTTCGCTGTGCTTGGTCCTCTGTCCCTCCAGCAGAATCTGATTGCACATTGGTCTCTTCCCTTTATATTATGGATCCAACTCTAGTCCAGAAGCCAGAAACCATGTGTGTGGGTGCGTGCGAGCATGTGTATGTGTGTGTGGTCTCATCTGTAATTACAAATCAGAGGTTATTTCTCTTTTGCAGAAATGCAAGCTGACACTTGGACAGCATGCAGTAAATACCCTAAAAGTGTAGCATGGTTATCTCGACTCCTGAGAAATTAATCTAAGAAAACAATCGCCGATGCAGAGAGCTGAAAACAGAAGGCGATCTTATGGGGTGGAGTGGGTTCCTCTGGCATTCGTATACTGAAATCTTGACCCTCAGGACTCCAGAATGTGTTTTCATATTTGAAGAGAGAACCTCTACAAAGATACTTCTGTTCAAATGAAATCATTAGGGTGGGTGTCAGCCCAATACGGCAGATATCCATTTAGCAAAGGGGAAATTCAGAGAGGTACACATAGAGACAGTGATATGAAGTGAGAGAAGGAGGGGGAGCTGTGCACAAGCCTGTAAAGTCTTCTCTCACTGTGCTCAGAAGCAAACAGCTCTGCCAACAACCTGGTTTTAGACTATGCGTCTGCAGAATACTGGTATAGTTCAGGTACCCCAGGGCCATGGCATCCCTAAGCACGTCATAAAGACGGAACAGTTAAAGCAGTAATAAAGTTGATCTAAACATACAGTGACTGGAAGTGATTAAGTGCATATGGAATATCTATTCAATGGCATTGCTTGCAGCAATTAGCATGTTTATTTACAAAAAGATCTCAGTACCATGCAAAATAACTCAAGTGAAAACCAGGTTTTTTTTTTTTATAAAGTAGTGTGGTTATAGTGACATAAACAAGAGCAAAAGAAACCTGCACAGGAAAATTTTGAATCACACTAGTAATTAAAGAATGTGACCATGAACAAAGAGACACATTATCTCCCAACCAAATTGGATTTTTTAAAATCAAACTAAGAACTCCTGTGAGGTGCTGCTAGAGAAGAAAGAGTTGGTATAACTTTGTGGAAACCAATTTGGCTGAAAATGGAACTTGGCATATTATTTATTTATTTATTTTTGTACCATGGGACAAAAACATCAATTACTGGAGACTTGTGCTAAGGGAAATAATCACCACTATGAAAAAGATTAAGAAGCAATGATGTTTCATACACCATAATTCAAGATTAAAAATAGGAGCTGGTGTGACGACTCAATTGGCTAATATGTGCCGGCATCCCATATGGGCTCCAGTTTGTGTCTCAGCTACCCTGCTTCCCATCCAGTTCCCTGATTATAGACTGGGAAAGCAGCGGAGGATAATCTGAAACCTGGATGCCTGCACCTGCATGGGAAACCCAGAAGACTCCTGGCTTCAGATGAGCTCAGCTCCGGCTGTTGCGGCCTTTTGGGGAGTGAACCACTGGATGGTAGGTTTTACTCTTTGTCTTTCCTTCTCTCTGGAAATCTACCTTTTCAGTAAAAAGAAACAAATATTTTTTGAAAGATTGAAAACAACGACAACAGTATCACCCCAGTGAAGAAAGTCTTATAAAATGATTTATTCCCTGGTGAAATTATGTGCTCTAAAAAAATTAAAATGTGTTAAAGAATATAAGCTCTTGTGTGAGAAAGCACTACTTCCTGTATAGAATCAAAACCGCAAAAGGTTATCTTTTAAGGACATGGAACAAGATTGTATAGATACTATCTTCGGTTATATGAAGGTCTATAGTTTTCAAAGTATCTTCTTATCTTCCAAGTAATTTAACATTAAGGAGCAAGCAATATTTGCCTTTGTGTGTTCAGCTTGTTTCCCTCACATTCTATTATATCCCAGGAATATGTACCGTTTTATAACTGTTCAAATTTCAAGTTAAAAATCATTTTAAAACCAAATACAAATATAGAGAAGAGAGAGCTTTGTGTTGTACCGTTGAGGATGCCCACGTGTGCACCTGCATTCTGTAGCAAAGTGTCTGACTTCCAGTTCCTCCTGTTTCCTACCAGTTTCCTTGCAGTGTGTGCTCCTGGACGTAGCAGCTGATACCTCCCACTGCTTTGCACAGTGCTACCCATATGGGAAAGTTTCAGATTCCGTCTGACCCAGGCATTTCTGGAGTGAACCAGTGGATAGGAGATCTCTTTCTTTTTCTCATTGTGCCTTTCAAGTAGATGAAAGCATTTTTAAAATAAATAAAAGGAAAATTTATATCGTTTAGATGAAAATGAATACTTTTGCTGAAAAACGTCATCAATAATATGGAATTTTGTGTTGGAGGGAGGAATGGTTGATATGGACAATCCCAGTGTTCCTTCAATCTATCATGTCCTTAGCTATGTTTATCGACTTTTCAGATCCCAAGCGGAGATAAATAGTTAAACAGAAAAGCCGCGGAGGCTTCAGGAAGGCAAATGATTTACAGGTGGAAGCCACAGAAACATCAGATAGCTTTTGAGTCAGAGAAAATCAATGTCTGGGGTTCATCCTTTATCCCTGCTGGTGGACAGTGGGAAGCCTGTGTGGATCAAGGCAGGCAGCCTGCAGGAGGTGGCAGCAGGGGACAGAGAGCTCAGAAATCAGACAACATGAAGGAGGCTGGACTTGAACAAAAGGAGAGAATATTCACCTGCTCACTCCTCAACTGTCCATGATTGGTTGCAGCTGGGCTGGGGCCAAAGCAGATGTCCAAGGTCACAGCCATCCCCCTCTGCCTCCCAGCACCTGCGTTAGCAGGAGACCAGGAGTGGAACTCAGGTTCTTTGCTGCCAGACATCCACTCCCTGCCACCTCACTCCTCAGGGAGAACTTGAAAGCAAAGACTCCTAAACATCTTAGTCAAACTATATATTCTTAAAATTAGTGAGCGCACTAAAAAAGCTTTGTCTGTTCAACTTTGTTTCGATCCGATCGTGGTTCATAAGCGTGATTATTGGGTTTATACATGTCTGTGTGGCACGTGCCTCCCTTCAACCTTGTTACGACATTGGCACGTGGCCTGTTTGATGTAAAAACAAAACAAAACAAAAACAAGTGTACATTTGGATGTATCCCTGCATCAGTCTACTACAGCTCATTTAAACATCAGAATGAGCACAAATGACAAAGTTGATGAGCATTAACTTAATTTTGTTAAAATGAAGAAATACCGAAGGGTTCAGGGCAATGGGAACTATTTTTTTTTTAAAGATGAGTCTTCAGTGTTGTTGTGAAGTGATTCTGAACTCCTCGACCCATTGGAAGAATTTTAGGAACCTTGCCTGGTCCTGGGATCCCACGTTGACAAACACCGCTACTGCGAGAGGGAGAAAAAGATTTGTAAAATTGTTCTAAGACCCAATGTTTATTCCCTAAAGCTTGTTCACCCCCACTTTAAAGAATCATCAAGCTATCTATATGAATTTGCTCTCAGAGAAATTTGCTATTACTGATTAATGCCTCTATCAATAATAGTTGATAGCTCCATTTTTTCTGTCAGTATTGAGTTGGTATTTGAGGATTCTTATTTGTTTTTTTGTCTGGTCAGAAAAAAGACTGTGATGTCAGGGTTCCCCCTCCCTAATTTTTCATGACAGTGTCCTAGCTTTTCAAATGTTTGTGGTTTTCCACGTGTGTAAATTGTTCCTCACCCTCTCAGGATTTCTATCATGTTTTCTTTCATTGATAATCATGCACTCCCATATACCATGACTATTGGCTTTTTAATTCATCACATGTATTGACAATAGTTTTCCCCAGGTTGTCATAAAATCATTTAGATGATATCTTTCACAGTTCCAAAGGTTTTAATATTTATGAAGTCAAACAATTCACCCTTTTCCCTCCGTCTGGGGTCTGCTTCATGCTTAGCATTTTGAGATTGTGGCTGATTTCATTTCATTTCAAAGATATGTTTTCCTGATGTTAAAGAAAAAAAAAAAGCTTAGAGTTAGGGAAATACTCATCTTAAATGCTTTCCCAGATGGGATGTGCCGGAACTGTGGGCCTCACAAGAGCACAGGCTCAGATTTTGGGTTAAAGCTGGAAAGTCAGGAATGCCTTAGACTGATGGCTCCGTGACTCCACAGCCCTTAATAAACCTTTGCTAACTGATTATTTCTAGACAGAAAGATGAATGGTACTGGCACAGTGCTATAAGTTAGAAAGTGTCCCGTTAGGTGTGTTTGGGTCTCTTCTACCATCCCTCCTGGGAAAGAGGTCAGAGCTGAACACTGATGCCACGTTCAAGGAGACATCTTAAGTCCCAGGATCCTCCTTCTCTGACACAGGACTCTTCTAGGGCCTAGGGTAATAGGGGCCAAGGGCTATCTAACAGTACATGATTGCTAGACCTGAACAAAAGGCACTGAATGGAAGCCAGCATGGTGGTGTAGTGATTAAGTTTCTGCTTCCAACATTAGTGTCCGGCATCAGAGCCAAATTCAAGTCCTAACCACTCCGCTTCCAATCCAGCTCTGTGCTCATCTGCTTGGGAGAGGAGCAGAAAATGGCCATGGGCCAAACACAGTAGCCTGGTGGATAGAGTCCTTGCCTTGCATGCCCGGGATCCCATAAGGTAGCCGGTTTGTGTCCCGGCTGCTCCGCTTCCCATCAAGCTCCTTGCGTGTGGCCCAGGTTTTTGGAACCTTGGGACCTTGCACCCACATGGGAGACCTGGGAAAGAGGTTTCTGATTTCAAATCATCTCAGCTCTGGCCACTGGGGCCACCTGGAGAATGGATCAGCAAATGCAAGATCTTTCTGTCTCTCCTTTTCTCTAAATCTGCCTTTACCCAGATGTAAATCCTGCTCCCTGGCCTGACTCTGTTGTAGCCATATGTGGGATAAACCAGAAGATGGAAGATCTCTCTTGCTGGCTCAGTCTGCATTTTAAATAAATAAATATAAATAAATAAACAAACAAATAAATAAATCAGACAAAAATGTTCTAGATGCCGGGTGCAGAGGCTCCACAACTGGTCCACTTCAAAGCACTGGGTGAACTGGCCAGCTGAGGTGCCTCCATGGACACAGTTCTTGGGAACCAAATGAAATTTTTGGAATCTCACAACTTGTCCCCACTCCCCCTCCCCCAGGAAGCAAAGCAAAACTGGAAACTCAGCCATGCAGGGTTATGTGAAGGTGAGTCCTCATGGGAAGGCTTTGTCTCATGGTCTCTGCTGTCTAGATAGCTCAGTGTTGATATCAAAGCCCCTGAGGCTGCACCTTGAGTCTCTCTCTCTCTCTATTCACCCTTCTGCCAGTGGGTGGCACAGTAAGAAAGCCTTCGCATGGTGCTAGTCCCTTAATTGTGCAGGCTGTCCCAACCTCCAGAACCACAAGGCGCTTGATTCTGTTAGTTATAAATTCCCCAGTCTCAGATATTCCACTACAGTGACACAAAATAGACTAAGACATGTGGTCAATATGTTTTTTTCCTTATTAAAAATAAGACAGTTTCATTATGCATTAACCCTTGCCCCTGCTGACATCTCTGCTCTTCCAATAATGGGCCAGATAGCTCTTCTGCTAGAATAGCTTCATGCCTCTCATAATTTAGATCTCATTGTGCAGCCCATCCGCAAATGAATCAGTGAAAGAAAAAATTCAAAGCAACATAAGCCTCGTTTCTCCAAATGAAGGTCTATTCTTGGAGGGCCTGCAGCACAAGCTAGGCATTCAGAAAGACAATGAGATTTGGGATAAATGGAAGTAATTTCCTTCCAAGAGATTTCCATCAATTGTGGTTGGGTTGGAAAAAACTTCGCCCAAGCTATTTCTTTCAGCCCAAGGCTTTGAAATTCTATCATCCTGTTTACCTAGTGAATGAGGCTGTCATAGAATTACAGTAAAATCTATAACCAGAAGCCATTGAAAGTGTAAGTGGAATTATGAATTTGGACTTGCAAAGAGTAGCGGAAACAGAGCATCAGTGAACAGACAACACCACGAAGAGCTTTGTCGTAGAGAGAAACACGGAGAGGTGTTCAGTTACGCTTTTATTTTCAGTACTCATTGCATTACTTTTTTTTCATTGCTTAACTTAATTTTGGAATAATTTCAGATTTAAGGAACCATTCTGAATAGAATAGAGAGAGCTCCTGTCTTTCTCAGCCTGTCTCCTCCTACATTAGTGTCTTAACCATGGCACACTTCTTAAAACAAATAAGCGTAACACTGTGAACTAAACCCCAGATCGATTGCGGATTTGTATTTGCTTCCCTGTCCTATAAAATGATCCAATGCAGAAAACTCTGTAGCTTTAACTCTATGGCACCTTAGATTTTCCTAGTTTGTGTCTTTCTTGACCTTACCATGTTTAAAGGCCATTGGCTGGGGGGATTTGCAGAATGTCTGTGGAGGATATGCATCTGTCATTGTTTTTTTATGATTAAATATATCTTTCTCAATGCAACACATCAAGTGTATGTCCACATGATTTACTACCGGGCCATAAAAATGCCCATCACTTGGCTAAAGGGCTTTGGGTCAGGATTTTCTACTACAAAGTTATTCTTCCTCTCCTTTTTGTACTGTATTTTGATAGCTCTGAATGGGGATCGAATTTGTTCCACTTACATTGTGCAGGGCCGCCTTGTGACAAAGAATGATGTTGAGTTTGAGAAAGCCTGCTCTTCCTCACAGGCTGCTCTCCACATCCAGATCACACTCCACGGGAGCCAAATGAAGCATAATCTTCTAGAAAGAGTGGTATGTAAGGATTTCTGGACATATGTTACAGCCCGCATGGTGATTAAATGCTTTGGGGGAGGTTCTTTGAGGGTATGCAAATCTTTGTTTCTTCTTAAAGTCCCACCCCTGAATTTTAGCATTCATCAATTGCCTGGAGCAAATTTTACAGTGTTATTCCAACCATAATTCTCTGTTTCCCTCATGGCTTCTACATTTGCATTTTAATTAGCTGTTCATATTTCCATAATTTGAGTATTAAGAATTAGATGTATTTCCTGTGTCAGTGGTAGAACTGTCCCTCTTATTCATTTATACCTTTATTCATTTATCTATTCCTATTTACTCAACAAATGTGCACTGAGGATTTACTTTGCCTGGACAGCCTGAACCCTAGAAATACAGTAAAGAATGAGATCGGCACTAGCCTTGCGTTGCAGAGTTCACCCTTGAATAAGGGAAGGAAGATAATGAGCAAGTGAAAAGATCAGAAATTTTTATTGCAGCTGATGGCGTGCCAGGCAAAGAAAAAGTGAGATTTGAAACCATTCAATACCCATCCTACTTCTGTCTTCAGTTGTACATGGCTGAATTCAAGCTAGAAGAGAAAAAAGTAGCTCCAAGGAATGAAACACCGTGTACCTAGGAAAGTGTAAGAGTATTGGGTTGCTCTTAGCATGCTCTTCCTGAGTCACGAGGGGCTGGCCTGTTGGAGTGCTCAAGAGCCCAAGACAACCTAAGACTACTGAATGTGAGCCATGGGGCTGTCACAGGCTGTCAGATGTAAGTTCACACAAGCTCTGCTGTGGAGTCAGGGAACTGGGGTCAGCCCTTGTGAAGGACCTGGCTTGGCTGGAATGTGCAAGCCAGATGAATGTATTTGAAGAATTGGTCTGTTTCCAGTGAGATTTCCCTCAGGAAACATTATTTCTCCCAGATGGGCCTGTAGCAGGGGTATCAGCAAAGGAAACTTAGCAGTGGTGTAGACAGGGTTAGCAAAACGAAGTGAAATTGTTGGCACAGGATTTTGTGACAAAGTGGAGTCATAGCCATTCTTGGGCTGCAGGAAGCCCAGGAGGGAAACGGGTTTCCACAGCTGGGAGGGGTTGAGTTACAGAGGAGATGCTGTGTGGAAGGATAGGGCTGCTGTCTGAGGGGCATCACCCAGGTAGGGTGTGAGGAGAGAGGAGACCTGGAGTTTCTTCTCTTCTCTCATTGCTGTCTCCCAGGGTGGTGTGCCTGTGGCTGAATCTAATTACAACCTACAAAGGATCCCAGGCAATGCAGCCTCTGTGTGTTGACTTCAGGAAATGCAGAGCATGTAGGGGAGTGAGGACAGG